GCCCTCCAGGGCCTTTCCCGGCTGCCCTTACTCAGTCAGCACCCCGGCTCCTCGGAGTTGGAAGACTTCCTTCCTTACACCTATGGTTGTTTAAAATACTTTCATGACTTGAGTGCTACCTGCACATTCGTCAGAATGGGATTTCCAAGACATCGGATCTAAGACCTTTACTCATTCACTCGTTCACTCATTCACTCAACAATTACTGATTAAACATCTAATACGTACAAGACAGTGTTGGCTCTGGAGACAATATTTCAGCCACCAGCCACTGCCTTGCACATTCCAGTTGCTCAATAAATATCAGTTGACTAAATAAATAAATGAATAAACCAAAGGGTAGGAAAGAGATTGGGTCAGAGGGAAGAATACAGGTCACATCGCTAATGATAAAACTGAACTTCGAGAATAAAGCAGCAGATGCTAATTTAGACCGGCTGAGACCTCGGATCCAACAGCAGCGGTCCCGGAGAAAGTGAGCTCCAAAAGGCTCCCTCATCGGGACTCCTGAAATTACACAAGGATCTTTACAGTGTGGAACGTGACTGAGCGACCAGCATAAAACACCATGCACATTTCTTCCGTTAGCAGGTGACCGCTCGGTAACGTACTAGGCATCATTTATTACGTGCTCTCCTTGACAAATGAAAGGAAACTGTTTGCAGTCAAGCACACTCGCACTGCTGGTTTCGAACCATAATTTCACATCCAGAATTTATTGCATCTTTCAGGAAATTTCGAAAACTGCCGTGAGTTGACGTCAACGCTGAGACAGCAAAGAGACGGTGTTTGCCTGGGTCGAAGCGCAGTTCCCGGCGCCGGCCAGAGGCGCCCACGTTCTCTTCGGACACTGGGTATGTTTCAGACAGCACAGCATCGCTTCTGTGTGAAGGCGCGGGAACCCGCTCCCCCTCCTTCCCATCGCAAGGACCGGTCAGGACAGAAACCGAATCCAGGTACAGCAAAATCTGAATAATCCAGGCTCCCCATGGAGAAAGCCACTGGGAGTCATCACAAAGTCTGAATTCTCGAGCACGAGGAATGGTGTGTGCTTTTTGGAAAAGTGCATCCGATAATGTAAAGTTAACCAAGTATCGACTTTTGCTGGTACCTGGGGGGAGGAATCTAAATTAATGACATTGAAATGCCTTACAATAGCATATTGCATATTGATTCGTCCTCTTAGAAAGGAAAAACATTTTTCCTTACAAGATTACTTATATATATTATTTTCTTAATTCACTTTTTTAGAGCACTTAGGCAAAATTCAATCCAAGTCCAGTCAATCTATATGCAAACTTTGGATTCGTGGGTCTGGATTAATATTTTATCGTAAAACTAAAAAGCATTTCTATACCCAGCATTGTATAGTTGCCCTAACACTCTGCGATCTCGTCAGAGGCTTCTTTCTGTGTTGAGGTGTCAAGATATTCGTTGCTTTTTGCAGTGTGCTATGACTCACGTTTAATCGCTTTTCTCTAATGATTCGAGAAGGGAACTCAGTGACATTTGTGAATGGCAGATTGAGATAAAAGAAGCTAGGTGAATTCTCTCTGCAACATGCTCCGTAATATGATTTCATGAGCGAGAAACGTGCTAGGGCTTCTGCCCAAATCATCTATTAGTCATTTACTCCATAGCGAGAAATGACTTCATGTCTCTGGGATGAAAAAATTACGTTGATGTCGTACTTACATGAGAGCAGATGAATCAACAAATGGAGAATAAAAGGTCCAGGAAACCATATCTACGTTCAACAGACTTATTTCAAAGGAGAAAGATGTTCTTTCTAATAGATGATGCTGATTAATGGATAGCCAGATGGGAAGATACATATCTTCACCCTGACTTCACGCCAGGTATGCATATCGGTTCCAGGAGTATAGATCTAACCATGGAAAGTAAAACAACAAAGCTTCTAGAACAAAAACAGAGCATCTTCATGACCTTGGAGCCTGTCAAGATGTCTTAAACAGGATTCAAATGGAAGAAAATGATACATTTCTATATGAAAATAAATAACTTGCATTGATCAGAAGGACACTATTAAGAGAATAGAAAGGCATCCTCCAGAATGGAAAATAGTATTTGTAGTGTGCATCAGACAAATAACTCATTTCCAGAATATATAAAGAATTTCTACAAATCAATAAAAAAAGACAAACAACCTAAGGGAAAACTGGCAAAAATGTGAACAAGCACTTCACAAATAGGATATCCAACCGGTCAATAAACACACGAAAAGGTGGCGAGTCACATCAGTCATCAGGAACATGCAAGTTAAGTACACGGTGAGCTACCAGCACACCCAGCAGAATGGCCGACGTGGGAGGCAGACATAGCGATTGTGGAGGCGGGAGCAGAGCCCCCGGGACTCTCACATGAACTGCTCGTGGGAGTGTGAGTCGGAAGGACCACGTGAGAAAACTTTTGGGGAGAATCTAGCCAAGTGGAGCATAAGCTCATCCCCTGATGCAGCGGTTTTACTCCTGGGCGCACCCATGACAGAAATACACGCCTGTGTTCACCAAGAGCCACCGCAGTATTCATAGGCCCAGACCGGAAGCTACTCGGATGCCCACAGCCACGGATGAGATCACTACGACCACACACATCGGCACGTCGAGCGACGGAAGAGAGACACGCAGAGGACGTGCTGCACAAACGCATTCGCGCTTACAAACAGGCGGAACTCACATGTGCCCTTAGAAGTCAGGAGGGGCGCGTTTCTTCGCAAGGTTCTAACTCGAAGGGGCCCGAGGGGGCTTCTGGGCGCTCAAACACCTTGGTTTTCGGTGTGGGTGCTGATCACATGATGTGTGCGATATGTGAAAAATCGACAAGCTGGAACTGAACACTTATCGTTTACACGTAGAATAAAACCTCACTGCAAGATACCATAATTTTTGAGTTTATTTTTGATTATATTTGGAGAGGCAGATTTTACATGATAGCTTCAAACCAACCGTTGTACATTGACCAAATTTTACACGAACCATTTAAAAAAAAGATCTAAAAATGTGCTTAGTTATTGGTAGTATATAACATCGATCAAGCACCAGGAGTGTGCTGAGCTGTACAGGACACGCGGAGAGAAGACGAGGCCTTGCCTTCACGGACGCCCGTTCGTTCAGAGTCTGGCGCGTAAACTTCGCCTTCCGTCTCACACCCTTTCACTCGTAAGGCATAAATAAGGAAGTTTGTTGCGTTTCCTATTGTTACTTAATTCATAAGTATCTAATACCCCTTTCCCCAACTATCCCAACAATTACTAACGTCTTTGCCTTTAGATACACATTTCTGTAGTACAGTGTATAGGATATACTAATTTGGTATTCACACAACTGACCACAGTATTTTTGCAGGTTGGTTATAACATGAAGCATGTTGAATTTCAACATTCACAAATTTTTTTTTACCACTTAGAATCATTCACTATTGGCAGAGCTATTTTTTTTGTTTTTTTTTAAATGAGGTGCCGTTGCTCTAGTACTGATAAACCGTAAACACAACAGCACGGCCTTGATCCAGCATGGGCACCAGAACTCATGGACCGTTCAGAATGGGGAGTTTCAGCGCATCTAGGAAACTAGCCTTGCAGGTATCAGTCACGTAGCCGCATGCCCTAAAACACTAGCAATTTATGATCAGCTAGTAGTAATGCTAGTAATGGCTGATATAAGTGTGATTTGCTTAACTGTATTTGCAGTTTCCAGAAAGGGGTACTTGGTGTAAAATATCTGAAAACCGTGAGCTGGGAATTTTTATTTTTTATTTTTTTTTTGGCTTTTCTGCAAGGCTGGGTTCAAAGCAAATTCAGACTAGAAAAGAGGGTGCTACGATTCTGAATCTAATCGTCGGCTAAGGGTACCTGATTTCAAATAATAAGATCCGATGGTTCATTCTTCGTATGCGAGAGAAACGAGGCTGATTTTGATAGGGTAGTGATTTTAGGCTCGTGCACAGGAATTACACCTCACGTAGAAATGCCTGAGCGTGGCGGACGATGGCACCCAGGACAGAGGGGGCAGTTCCCACGTCCCCACAGGGAGCTCACAGCAGCCAGAGATGAGAGGCAAAGTCCAGAGCGAAGGGCAGCTAGCTGTCTGTCTCCCAGCCAGACTCTGGTCTTGCCCGGTCCGTGAACAGTGGGATGGGAAGCTGGAGCGAGTCTGGGGTCCAGGGCAAGAAGGCTGTGGCGGGCTCGGGGTCAGTGGAAAGCCAGAACCCAAGCATGAGCTTCACCTTCTCCAAATCCCAAGACCCCAAGCATGCATGAGCTGTAGCCATGGCCAAGGCCCATTAGCTGGCAGCAGAGCCAGAGCCATCAGGCAGAAGGACCACCCTTCCCTGGGGCCGTCGCCGTCGGCTTTCCAGGGGTGCCGCCTGGCCTGGGCATTTCCTTGATGCGGCCATGGTGTTGAGTTAATTTAAAAGCTACACCGGACTTGGAGCAAAACTAAACTTTTCCAGATACCTCCCCAGATAAGAAAAGGGTCGAAGAAAATCTTACACGGCCCGTTCACGTCCGTGCGTGGGGCAGGGCTCAGAGTCACACCCTCCCTAGATAGCCAGGCACATGGCCCCAACAGGGCTTATCAGGAACTGTCACCCAAGGGCAGTGGCAAAAGTGCCTTAGTCCGTCCTCCATGATCCTACCTGGCGTCCCCACTTCTCTGCACATCGCACGGCAAGAGCTTGGGAACGACCTATCTCTGATGCTCTCAGGGAACAGGGTGTTACAGAGCTTCGCTGGTCAGGAGGGGAGATGGGGTGGCAGCCCCCATCTCCCAGGAGTGGTAATCTAGTATCCCCTTGGGGGTAAAAAAAAAACAAACCTCATTTAATGTGCCCAACCCAAAACCAAGCACCAAAAGACTAAAATTCTTACAATAGACAGTAATATATATATGTATTTTTTCATTTTCAGTTATAAATCCTCAGTTTTCCATGTGAAGGCTTAAGTTTCAGTCACCTAGTTGAAAATGCAAACATAAACATGAAAATGACGTCGGTAACATGAAGACCTCTAAAAATAAAGGTCGCGACAGACAAAGGCCTCCCCCCGTAGTCTGTTAACAGCACGAAACGCTCCGACAGCCCCTGACGGAGAATGATGATGAATTAGACACTGCAAGCTAAGCATTATTTGCAAGTGTTGGGGATGGACACTGGGCTCCTATTGCTTTAAAATCTGAGAAACTTCCCAAACCTCTTTCAGGAATGCGTTGTATCATCCAGAGTGATTATTCTTACTACCAGCGTTTGTTTTTAGCCCACCTTGTTCTCAGAAGAGCTAAGGTAACTAGTTTCAGTCAATCACTTTTTTCACCTGTAACACGACATCAGAATCGAATGCTGCCGAAAAGGGTTCTTTCTGTCCAGTTATGTCAAAGCACCATTCAACAGGTGGCAACCGAGAACCAATTCTGATGGGATCACAACTCTGGAGAAACCCGGCTCTCAAGGTATTGGACAGAGAAGACGATACACCATAGTCAGGTATTTGGATAGACGTGAGATACAGAAACAGTTAAATAGATTTTTTTGCACTGCTGACAAGTATTCGGAACTCTGGAGTAGGTGTCGGTGGAGTCGAGAACACCCAGTGCCTTTATCACATTGGCGACAAGCTTTCAGAGCCTTTAAAGCCACTGGGAATGGCTTCTATCAGTGGTGCACGCAAACCGTGGGTCACAGTTAGAATGTCAAAGTTTAGCCGCTGTCTCTACTCTTCAAGGCACAAGGACAGGTTCCAAACTCTTCAGCTCAGGAGCGGGAAGCAGAGCGTTCTGGTCCCGCCAGGAGATGGACAGTGAGGGAACGGAACCACACGCCAAGCGAGAACGGGGGACGCTCTGAGCAGCTACGGTTTCCCAACACTGACCTCGCCCTGCAGCGTGCAGCTCTCCGCTCCTGGCGGCGGAGACAGGACGGCCCCCTGGCCTGACTTCCTTGGCCCGTCAAGCAGGGAGACCTCACTTCACGCCAGCCCTGGGTTCGGCCCATTCCTACCGTGGGCACCAGGAAGGAAGACAAAGTGTTTCCACGAAGACCATAGTGACGGGCCAGCGCGGAAAGCCAGAAGCTTTTTTTAAATTTTACTTTATTTTTTTTATCTTTTCACCGATAACGTTTGTTGGTAACCTGACCCCTCACGGCCACTGTCCCTGTCGCTCCGCCTGCAGCGGTCCCAGAACGTTAGGGAAATGGCACTGGCCCTGTTTCCTTCCCGGCTCGCCATCTCCCTCGGCTCCTCCCCAAAAGCTGTGCGGGAAACATCGTCCGAGTAACACGTTCCCCGCCCGGAAACGTCATCGAAATGCAAAGACTCTCATCGATGTTCGCTCCTCTTGTTTTGTTTTGTTTTGTTTTGTTTTTGCTTGGAGTTCAGTTTGTACCACAGGACGTTCACCGCCTCCTTTGGGCAGGGAAAGCCACTGCCCTCTAGAGGTGCCCCCGGGTCTCAGGCAGGCAGGTCCCTCTGCGGCACGCGTGCTTCCAGGCCCGCCTTCCGCGTGTGCAGCGGAGCCCCGCGGCGTCATCGCCGTCTCTGCCAGCGGCCGCGGCCGCAGAGGACGACACCGTCAGCGCCCGCGGGGCGGCGGCGCCCAGCTCATGACTTCATCGTGCAGATGGGCACGACGATGACGAGGATGACCGTGCACGCGGCGGCCGCGATCAGCGCCGCCATCTTGCAGACCTTGGCTCTTCGGAACTCGGCCTCCTTACGCTTCAGGAGTGAGTCGTAGCCCGGGGTGTAAATGTCTTCCATCCAGTATTCCAAGTTGTTCGGGTTCAGAGACTCCTGCGTCTAAAAGGGAGACGAGCGTTAGCAACGTGGTGAACACTTGGAACCGGGTCAAAGACAATTTGACAGTCGTCACCCCCGAAGCAGCCGAGGGTGGCCTGCAGCTGGCGGTGAGAGCTGGCCGCACGTCCCACCCTGGCCACCAGGCCCTGCCTGAGACGCGGCCCCCACGCAGCACCTCCCCCACGACAGATGTCATGTTTTGACCTAGAAAACATGACATGGGTCTTCTGTCGATGAGCAAGCAAAACAGAGCCAAGGCTCACACGCCTGAAATGCAAGGGCGCCATCCAAGACCACAATGGCCCCGCCGAGAAACGCTCTCCCTGGAAAACCCTCTCCCTGGAAAATGCTCCCCACTGGCAGCCCCTGAGAACGGAGCTGTCTGAAGCAAGGCCATCTCATCGCTCTGATTCAGTCCCCGGTTCCTCAGAAAAGCATCTACTGGAAATTAAAGGGCACCTCCCGGATAAGCAGTGCAAACGAAACATGAAATATTTCAATTTCAAACACCCTTCTGAGCAGCACAGGCCACTGCTTAACGCCAGGGTCTGCAGCTGCACGGCCGACTGTCCCCACACCAGGCGCCCGTTCCCGGAGGGAGACCCCGCGACATCTGTCGCCCGGGTTCCCCGGATCAATGAACTGCCCGCAGGAGAAACATCGCATTTAACCTGCCTGGCCCGTGACGCCCATTCCCCAGGATGTTTATCATCTATTTCCATAAAGGAAGGCAGCGTTCTCATTCCGTGATGAGCATTTAATAATGGGTGTCACATAAAAGCAGTTATACCTGATATCACCTGAAGCTCTCTAATCCGAGGCTCTAGCTTTATTTTTTATAATTTTGCTTTTCCATCTATAACTATTGCCACATTAAAGTGGCATGAATCTGTAGGAGCCAAATGTCCCAGCCTCCTTCCCCCAAACTTTAAATCCCCAAACTTTAAAAAGATGTTTTTCCATCTCCGACTCAGGCATCTAACCTGACCCTTCCGAGGTCATCGTGAGCCTGGCAAAACGTTGATTATTCCAGCAGTCACACCTCCGTGACATGCCAACGCCCACGGAGCTCCATGTGACACCGTGAGACACCACGGCAAAGCTGCACAGGAACCCACCTGCATGAGAATCCAACCCTTGCCAGCTGGACGGTGACAGGAGAGGAAGTGGCCTAAAGGGACAAGTGACATGCAGTACACACGGGATCAGACCATGCGAGGAGTGGCTGCCACCACAAGCTCCCTGTCAGGGGCCGGCCAGAGCTGCCCTGGCCCACGCTCGCCGTCACGCAGGGCCCAGTGTAAACGCGTGTCACTGCAGTCATTTTGGGGACGTGACTCCACTACACTCTGACCAACAGAAGAAGGGGGTGAGGGGGGTGGAAGGGCAGTGGAAGACTCGCTCCGGGTCCGAGGTGAATGCAGACTCATCCGACATGGGCGGGGCAACCTACTGAGCTTCTTGGGGCCTGGATGTCCTCATCCGTAAACCAAAGGGGACCGTCGCAGCTCCTGCCTCCAGGCCACCACGCCCGGCAGCGAGAGACTGCCGTCCAAAGCACCCTGCCCAGTCGACTGATCTCTGCGTCCTTTAATCGGCCCCTAAATGCCTCTCAGCTTAATGCGGGCCCTGTCACTTCTCACAGCCACCCTGCAGCGTGGATGTCATTCTGCCCATTCAGCGGGTGAGGAGCCCGAAGCTCAGGCCAGTGAGGGGATGGGTCCAGGTGAGCACGGCCGGGGTGCCCAGGGTCGGAACCCAGCGTGGTCAGTCTGGCCCCATGGGGACTGTGGCCTCAACGCCCACAAAACTAAGGCCACAGGTGGGGACAGGTGCTTCCTGTGCTCCAGCAGTGACAAACAGATGGAGGCAGCAGGAACGGGACCAGGGAGAGCGGCCACCACGATGGAAGTGTGGGCACAGCCCAGCCCAGCCCGGCGGTGAGCAGACCGCACGCCCCCAGCACAGCCGCACTCGCGGAGCTCGGGGCGGCTCTCACCTGGGGCCGCTCCCTATGGAAACCTGCCCGTAGCTCGGCTCCCACATGGGCTTCTCCCACGTGCTGCGTGTGGAAGGGGCAGTCAGCTCGTGCTTCACGGAACAGTCTGGCGCAGGTCTGGCGCGCAGACGCGAGAGCCTGCACTCAGTACGGAGTCTGAAACATATCGTCAGCAAACGACGGCCAAAGCCAACGCAGCACGGAGGCTGCGTGCACGAGCTGATAACAAGACAGCAGCGCCCCCATCCGGCTCTCCGTTCTGATTCATTCAAGTTCAGAATTGCGCGGCGGGGCCAGGGAGCTCGGTGATGTGGGCACAGGCCGGTCTCGGCCACCGTGGTCCCCTCCTGCATCCGCCCAGTGCCCTGGGCCCGCCCCCCACCACCACACCCGGCACCGCCAGAGGCTCACCTGCAGGTCCAGGGCAGTCAGCTTGCCCTTGTCACCCGCATTCCGGGCAAAGTCCTCAACGGTCCAGGAGGGCGGGCCGCGCTTCACCTCGGCCAGCTCGGTCCGCCGCATGTTGGTGTACAGGGGGTTGTTCCCGTGCGCTCTGACGGAGGCGGGGTGTGGGTGCGGGCTGAACACCTGCTCCACCAGGAAGCCGTCTTTGGGCTGCTTGGGCAGGCGGTGCTGCGGGGGGACGTCGTACTGCCTGTCCGCCTGCAGGGGGCACAGAAGAGCAGAAAGGTGCACGGACCCGCCGGGTTCCCGGGGGCGGCAGGCGCAGCAGCGCTGCACCGAGGACACGCGCCTGTGCTGGCCGCAGTCTCCAGGGCTAGCTTGTGACCATTCCCGGGGGCGGCAGCCGCAGCGCTGCACCAGGACACGCGCCTGTGCTGGCCGCAGTGTCCAGGGCTAGCTTGTGACCATGACAGTGCGAACATGAGCTAAGCCCCGCGTGCCGGGAGCCCATGTCCTGTCCAAGCCTCATACCGGCACCGCTGTCACCAAGCCTCCCGGGAGGTGGGGCCCAGAGAGGGTTAGTGACCTGCCCCGAGCACACAGCCACCGGGAGCCGGAGCCTCAGCACCTGGCTGCAGACAATCTCTGCTCACCATGTCTGCCTCTCTTCCTTTTTCTAGCTTCTACCTGATACGTGGGACTGTCTCTCCAAGAGCCCTCTGGAAACACGCTGCTTCTCTGCAAGGGAGAAGCCAAGCCAGAAAACACATGTCGGGAGCCTCCAGAGACACGTGCATGGCCTTCAAGATCGAGTGCAGTGTGCAGGTAGGAAGGTGTTCTCCTAACCCCTCGCTCCGGAAAAATCGCTCCCCCAAGTGGAAGGCACTGCACCGATATTTGTCAGAGGGGCTGACAGCAGCGACATGAAGCCACGCGGGGAAGGCAGAGCAGAAGGGGGTGTGTGTGTGAGCAGTGCAGGGGGAGGGACCACGAGACGTGAGCGCAGGTGATGACGAGTAAGAGAGGAGAGTGAGTGAAGGTGTCTCGTGTGGGCAAACGTGCGTGTGTGTGTGTGTGTGCGCATGTGTGTGTGCATGTGTGCGCGTGAGTGCGTGTGCGCATGCGTGTGAGTGTGTATGAGTGCGTGTGTGTGCACATGCGTGTGTGCATGTGTGCACGTGAGTGCGTGTGTGAGTGTGTATGAGTGCGTGTGTGTGTGCGTGTGTGCACGTGAGTGCGTGTGTGCATGCGTGTGAGTGTGTATGAGTGCGTGTGTGTGTGTGTGCACATGCACGTGCATCTCACGCAGGCTGGGAACAGAAGCGTAGGCCCAGACCGCACACCCTTCACGGCTTCCAGACCTCCACGGCTGCAGAAAAAGCAGGGTGAGCTCTGCCAGACCCGAAGAAAAATCGAGACCACCTCCTACTTTCTAACTCATCAAAGCCAAGTACCTTCTGAGAGGCAGCACCGATTCCGTTCATCCTGCTCATCACGGCGCCCCAACACCCGCGGAGCTGCCCATGGCATGAGCCCCGCCACCCAGATCTGGGGGGCAGGGCAGACGCCAATGATAAGGACCAGAGCAGCCGCCGCCGCAGTTACAGGCCCTCGAGGGCTGGCTGTGCTCAGTGCGGATCGGGCCTCATCTCGGTTCACCCGCCCCACAACATCCCACGCCTTGGGATGTAGCCACTGTTGTCCCCATTATGTATGCGAAGCTCAGGTCAGAGAGGGGAAGAGACTGACCTGGCGTCACGCAGCCAGGAAGCAGCAGAGTCAGGGTCTGAGCCTGTCCCCATTTCCAAGACAGGGAACCTCCCTGCACACGCGCCCGCCCCCTGCTCCTCTGCCAAGGCACTGTGTCCAACGTGGCAGTCAGGACACACGCGGACAGGCTCCGAAGAATTCACAGGTGTCTCCTGTGTCTGAACGGATGGGACTGAGGGCCAGACATCAGAGCAGCGCCAAAACCTCGGAAGGATTTCAGAGGCCGATGAATGAAGAGGCCTCGATGGGAACCTGGGACCCAGGTCAGCACGGAGAAGGGGACAAAACGTCTTGATGGACGAACCCGGGAGGAGAGGCTGGACGGAGGCGTGGGGCCTAGCCCTGCGGGACGCTCAGTACTGGTCACAGGCGCATGAGCGTGGCATTTCTGACGGCTCATCAGGGCTGAGCACGGCCCTGTCTGGGGGACCAGAGCGTTCCTTCTGAGGGGACAGGGACTTCACGGGGCCCAAAAGGCCTGGCACCGCATGCCCAGAGCGGAAGTTTAGGTCCGTGAGATGGCGTGGAGGCTGGGGACATGAGGGAGGAGACCCCATAACTGTGCCCAGATCCCAGCTGGGACGAGCTAAGGGCCTTGGCTGCATGGACGGGGCACGGTTTAAATGGAGAGGGAGGCAGAGGTGCAACCCACAGAGACGACAGACCCACAGGGTCTGGTGC